AATCTGACTAGATGCACTACGAGGCACTTGACTGCTGCGTGTATTTACATAGCCTGGCCAAAAATATGCCGATGTATCTAGAAGATTCCTAGAAATACAAGCCTCAACAATCAGATGCCGCATATTTCCAGCTGCAACAAGAAAAAAAAAACAAATTAGCCACACAAGAGAATACATTTCAGATGCATATGTATGCAACAATGTGTGTGTGTGTGTGAGAGAGAGTGAGAGTCAGAGAGAGAGAGAGAGAGATCTTCAAGGATCAAAAGAACCATTGTAAATTAAAATTTAAGATGTATGTACAGGATAACAAAGACTACTATACTATGCAGATTTGCACGCCAGAATCCTATGCCACATCTAGAATTAGTTTGTCCACAGAATAAAATAATTTTGGGGATACGTTCAATAATGTGCTTCATTGAAGATAAATTGTTCAAGCAGAATTCCAGTAAGAATGATTCTTGAAACATTGAACGTCAATCCAAAATTTTGCACCTGTAGATAAATAAATGTCAACCACTGAACCAAGCAATTTTTTAGCATGAAGTCAACAATGTCCTTTTATAAAGATTTGACTATTCTAACAGAATTGTACTCCCAGGAAATCTTGAGAAATTGAGCATGAATCTAAAGGTTATCATTTGCAGATGAATCTAAAGGTTAGCATTTGCAGATGAATGGAGATAGAACAGGTCAATTGACTATGTTTAGAAGTTTCAAAAGAACGCAAATATTCAGCAATTTAAATATTCTAGAGACCATTGCTCATTAGAATCCATACAACCAATGTTAAATTCTGAAATAAGAACAAGTACTTACAACAATTAATAGGTGTATCATTCATACTAACACAGTCATAGCACTCATTACCAACTGCAACTCCTGATATGAACATTACTGCTTTTGCGGCAGCCTGATTGGCTACTTCAATAACGGATTGAGGAGGAGTCAGCAAGCTCTCATATTCACCCAACATCTGCAAGCACGTAATCAAACCTTGTCGGCGCTTTCCTGAAGACTGCTTCTCATCTCTACTTTTACTTGGGCTGCATTCATCCTCCTCCTTTAGTTCACCTTCCTCTTCTTCAATAATAATGGTGACTGCAAGGGTTGTAATTGACAATAACATGCACAAGCATGTATCCAAACGAGGCACAGGACCCTCACTTGGATCCCTTTCCTAAAATGGAAATTTGAATTAGCAAATATAAGCAGGTTGGAATAAGTTAAATGCCCCCCAGATGGAGGCAGATTAAACCTGAGTTTTTTTTACCTAAAGGTAATAAATACTCAAATAATAATAAAGAGGAGTAGAAGTGAAAAGAGGGATGGATGCTTAATTTTCTTGCAAGGTAAGTTTCCCCAATTCAACAGAAGTAGACCGTATTTTAAGTAGATTATTGTCACAAACAGAGTAAAACTGCCACATGCGTCAGGCTTATTAAAAGATTGAACTTCAATGCTGCTTTTTTTATCCATCTCCTCCAATCTTGGAGTTAAAATATAAAGGAGAAAGAAGGAACATAGTATAAACTTTATAAGCCAGCATAAAGTTACCATGCAATTATCATAGAACAGAAATCACTTAAAATCTCTCAATTCAAGGCAATGGACCTGCTAATTAAGTAAATTGTGAGGATGAAATCATTTTAGACAAAGTTAATATCTGAACATAAAGAGGATATAAACAGATAAACATGATTCATTTATCAAAATGCTAATTGATCCTACCCTTTGAATAAGTCGCAATGCTGCAATCCACAAACCCAAAAATGTATTGTGCCAGGAGGCATCATTAACTGCCCGCAGAGATTTTATCAAGCCTGCAGATAACTCTGGATCAATAGAACTCTTGTAGAAACTTAGAATTTCAATTTAATTGAAGAGTCACTCAAGCACTATAAAAATTGTAAGCTCATACAAATCAGACGCTCAACAGCACTAGTTGCCAGAACTTGTGATCCATCCATGGCATCCTCCAGGAACAAATCGATGGGAAGCCACAATGCAGACCAATTAACGCCATGAGATTGACCGGCGGAAGAAAAGAGCGATCCAGAAGCCATTACATCATGGAACTCTAACTGAGATGCTGTTTTTCCTTCTTGCGATAAAAACCTATGTTTATCGGATGTCCAGTGCAGAAGGACCTCTGGAGTTATTAGTTTTGTGTTCCTCAAAACTACTGAGTTTGCTGCAAGTAGTTGTAACCGCTGGGCAAAACCTGCCCAGTGCAATGGCCTAAGACCCAGAAAGCAGTATTATGTTAATCGTTTTCATTGAGCTCTAAAAATTTTGTGTTAATTTAACATTAAAGCAGTATACGTCATTCCAATAACTAGTGGTAGTCTCAATGAAATGTGGCCATTCTTAAAATCCTTACGCTTTTCTTTCCTTCAGAAATCAAAGATGACGGAGAGAGAAGACAAACAAGGTTAGGAAGAATTATACTTCTTACATATTTTGATGGGCCAAGCACAAAATCCTTGCAGTTTTCTTATTTTGCAGGAACTGCCCAATAATCTCAATAGCTTTTGCAGTGTTCACTTTAAGCAGATTTTCACTGTTCTCAGTTTTCTTCTCACCAAAAGAATTATGAACATCTAGTTCCATATTATGTGGTTGTGGCCTGATTAGCCACACTGATCTTTCTTCTGCAGGAAGTTCCAGCAATCCTTCATCATCCAATGATGCATCAAGCAAATGCCATACAATTGAAAAGAATAATTCAACCACAAGTAGCCCAGGTTCACATGTCTGGAGACCAAATATCTGGGACAGATGAAGGACGTCATCGATGGTTTGCATGATCCTGAAATGGCATAACATCATTCATGAAGCCTTTTCCTCCAGTAGCATAAAATAAAATCTGGGAGGTGGGTGATGAAACAAATGATGGTGCAATAAGGTTGAGGCATTTCTCCCATTATTTTTTAATACGTATATTTTATTATAAAAAATAAAAAAGGAATCGAAAATTCAAAACACCCATAAAGGAAGATAATTAGAAAGATTGAAGAGATGAGCTTGATGTTAACAGGATTTCTATCTAGCAACTCCGTGCTTAAGGATATTGTCAACAAAAGAAACTTGTTGAACCCTAGCCTTTATAAGGTGATCCAGCACTCCAAAAATTTCCACAAAGTGAACTTCTTTTAATTGGAGCTTGCCCCACGAGGGTATCAATACTCATGATAAAACTCAAAATAGACTTCCAAGCTAGTGTCCTTCTCCAGGAAGGAACATTATGTGGACGTGATTGGCTTTGCTTAGAGTTATACAGCATTTGCAAAAGCTTTCCTCTAGGTTTACCATCGAGAAAGAAAAATGGTTAAACAGAATGAAAAGAGAATGTGGCTAACCACTATAATGACACGAGTAAACTGCAACGAAACCTACCTTGGGTAATTGGGTCCATTGACTTCCAATGTTGATGAAAAGACGTGTCTGCTTAGAAGTTCCAGGTAAAGCCTGTATGCTGCAGGTCGAAGCTTTCTGTATGGAATTGCCCTGAAATGTGATATATGTCAGCTTTGGATGGCGAATAGTGGATGAGAAAAATCGAAGTAAAACAAAAGAGGAAGAAAAATAAAATGGTAACAAGTTTCAGACATCTTCCACACTCAAAGCCAGTATCTGATGCAAATTGAAGTGAATTATTGGACAAGAGGCAACAGATACAGACTAGAACATATATCAACAGTAGACAACTACAGCACAACGAAATTATAGATGATTATGGATGATGTGCAAGCAGAAAGGCAGTTAACCAACAACGCACGAAATCTATGCATATGGTAACTTATTTTCACAAATGTCCACGCGGATACATAAAGAACCATAAGCAAATTCGAAGTATTACTAATTAAGCACCCAATATGATACATTTATATAACAATTCGAGGAAGCGAAGAAGCTTTAATCAAAATGCTAGAATAAATGAGACCTGGTAGAAAGAAGAGCAATAACCAGCAGGGGAGGAACGATTCTGGCGGTCATTGCCTTCTCAAGGAATTTCCACATGATCGGAACGTGATTGTCCCAACAAATATGAGAGACCAAGAGCTGGGCGAGCTCGACAGACGGCAAGGAAACACTGGCCGAATTGAGGCTGGAGCTGAGGTGAACCGCCCAAAGCAGTGGATCGCTGTTCTTCTCCTGCGCCGACTTCGTAAGCTCCAACACAGTGTCCCATACACCAGCGATCCCCTGCAGTTGACCGGGCGGTTGAGCGGAAACCGCCATGGGAGATTCTGACCCACAGAATTTCTTGCTCAGGGAAAGGGAATAATGGACCGAAAAGAGATCGAGGATGAGTAGATTGAAGTTATTTGAGAAAGTATTGGGGGTTCATTCTTGTGTAAGTCGAAAATTTAGAGCTCATGAAATTGTTCGCGGCGCGTAAAATGATGAAACAAGAAAACCCTGGTTTAAGTAATTGAAGAAATCAAATTAGATTTGAACCCTGGTTCAAGCAATCCAATTGAATCGATTAGATTAATAATTCATTATTTTAAATTTTCCAATTTCTTCGCCACCTAAAGGCTTGGAATTGCCCAAACAAAAATAAATAATTACATTTAATAGTTCTCTAATTTTATATTAAAACAGCATTTTCATGATTTTATACGGTTATTTAATAATCCTTCATTTCTAATAATCACTCGTAACAATTCTTCTACAAAAAATACTTTCCATCACATTTTTAAATTCATTTTGAAATTATCACTTCTACCTTGTCTTCCAATGTTCAAAATTAATTTATATATTTAATTTTACAATTTATGTAATACCATTAAATTTGATTTTAATTTATTAAAAACATATAATTTAATGATTTTGAATAAAATAAGAGTGATTTGAACGATGTGAAACTACTCTCATATTGAACTAGAAGTGTTAAAAAAATATAGTGATTAGAAGCATCATCGAGTATATAGCATCATAAGTTGAAAAAAAAAAAAAAATCATGTTACATATATAGCATGTGAGAACACTAAAATAACAGCTACAAACTACCATTCATTTATCCTTTGGATTCTTTGAATTACCATTCACTAGAATCTCATTGGATTCTTTGCACGACAATACTTCAACACAGAATAATGTGAGGCAACCATCACGAAGTACAACCGTCACGCATTGCGGTACACAAAAGAATGCACTTTAATCAATACCCATGCCATTCCATACAAACTTACAAACTAACTGACATTAGCCACCCCGAGCCTCGCGTCTCGTGGCATCGTGCAACAGCTCGATATCAACGCCATCTGGTGGAAGTTGAACATATCTCACCACCGATCCCCTGATAAAACAGTTTCTCACAGAAAGCTGAAAAGGTAAAATTTTAACTCCATTACTCCAATCACAGCAACAAAAATTACAGATAACAGATGTTCTTGATCAAGTAAAAACAAGAAAAGAGAATTAAAACAGAACACATTCTACAACAAACAGAAACTAGAGACTGGGAAATAAGACCTGTTCCTACACGCTTAAAATTTGTTCTCACAAGATACCTTTTTACACATCATGGCCATGATTATGAGGTGGGTTACAAAGCCACAGAAGGATTTAGAATCAATCAAGATTGGCCGGATTTGAGGTTAGGAATCACAAACCTCCACAATGATATGATATTGTCCACTTTGAGCATAAACTCTCATGGCATTGCTTTTGGTTTCCCCAAAATGTCTCATACCAATGGAAATAGTATTCCTTACTTATAAACCCTTGATCAACGCCTTAATTAGTGATCATCGGAACTCCTCTCCTGACAATCCTCAACAATCCTCCACTCGAACAAAGTACACCATAAAGCTTCTCATGAGGCCTATGGAGCCCTTGAACAGTCTCCCATTAATTGAGGCTCGACTCCTTTTTTCTAGAGCCCTTGAACAAAATACACCATTTGTTAGACACTTGAGTCACTTTTGACTACACCTTCGAGGCTCACAACTTCTTTGTTCGACATTTGAGGATTCATTAACATAGCTAAGTTAAGGGCATGACTCTAATACCATGTTAGGAATCACGAACCTCCACAACTGTATGATATTATCCACTTTGAGCATAAGTTCTCATGGGTTTGCTTGGTTTCCCCAAAAGGCCTCATACCAATGGAGATAGTATTCCTTACTTATAAACCCATGATCAACCCCTTAATTAATGATCATTGAGACTCCTCTCCCTACAATCCTCAACATTTGACAGGCTGAAGAATGAAGACGGTTCCTTTGTGCGAGTAGTGTTAAACTAACATTTGGTCAAAAAGCCACCACAGTACTTAGGCTGGGCGTTTAGTTACAATATCTATATAACTACATTGTCTACAAAATGAGATTTCTTGGTCTGAAGATGGCCCCTCTTTATATGCAGCATTTCTTGGCCTCTTAAAATACTTGCACGAGTACTACTATGTGAGTGTTCCCCCCGCACTGATTTATTAATGCAGCTTAAAATTTAGACTCAAGAACAAAAAATTCTACCCCGTTCAAAATGTGCTGAAAATACAAGTGATCGTCCCTTCATTTACCAGTTAACTGAATATCAAACAAGAACAAACTAACTGACGAAAGAAGAAATTGATCTACAAAACTACTTGACAGTCATATCAACCACCAACTTTAAAATAAATAATTCATAAATTCTTACTAAAAGAACAATTCATACTAGAAAAATCCTACTAATCCACTACACCAGTAAGTATTGATTTGCTGAAATAAAAATCATGAACTAGATGCAACATCCAGATTCATGAGTTCAATCAAAACCAGTGTTTTAAAATCCTCATGGAATTAGAAAATCAAATTCATTTCAAACAGGAAATTATCAAGAATCCTCTACCTTCACATATACTTACTTTTTTTTGGATAAGATTCTCACAATACTTTCTACTCGGGTACAATTCACAATAGAAGGTTGTAGATATAAATTTAATATATCCACCTCAACTCATACACAATGTATGGTTCTAAAAACAAACTCAACTCATATGCAATGTATTGTTCTAAAAACAAAGTCAACAAATGAGGTCTTGATAGAGGATGGTTGGGAGAAAGTCTCACGTTGGCTAATTTAGGGAATGATCATGGATTTATAAGTAAGGAATACATCTCCATTGGTATAAGGCCTTTTGGAGAAGCCCAAAGCAAAACCATGAGAGTTTATGCTCAAAGTGGACAATATCATATCATTGTAGAGAGTCGTGATTTCTAACAGGTCCCTGTTGGGAACTCTAACCAAGCAACAGGATTACTTGGAATTTTCACCGATTTGGGAACCACCCACAAAATTACTTGAAACTTTACCCCCGAGAAAATTCAAGAAAGAGCAAAGGATGAAAAGAAGATCAACATTCTCAATTAAAACAATATATAAAATGAAAATCTTAGGGTGACGATAACAAACGACGGTACAAATAATCTGTGAACCATGACCACATATCATGCATCTCGCCAGACAACCTTCCAAATTATTAGAATTAAATGAGCATTAAAAGGCAACTCTAGTAAATAAGATGCAGCAATGACAAGAAAGGTAAAGAAATTAGATACCATGTGAGGGTATTTGTCTTGATCAACAACCCTGGTGTTTTCAAGTTTGATGTTGAGATATTGATCAACGGAGTGCAGAGTTCCTCTAATTGATAGGTCATTTTTCAACTCGACTGTCACCTCTCTGCCCACCAAATCCTTGAAGTACGAGAAAAACAACTGAAACAAAACACAAATCAAACTCCAAACGCATATAGACCAGAGATTTTAGGAACCGTGAGGATCTAAGATGAAAGAACGGAAGCAAAAAACGAGACAAACAAATGCTTCAGCCCTGAGGTAGGACTAACATTAACGAAAATCTTAAACGACGGAGACCAGTACGTGAATGAAGGAGGAATTACCATTTCAGCAGAGGTTTGAGTTGCCGATGTTCAGTCTATCTCCGCTCGACGATAGACGACTTCCAAAGGTCGAAATGCCGCCAGAACTCTCACAAAGGGGTGTGTTTTCTTCCGTTCAAACTATAAAAGAAATTGGTAAATTATAAATAAAATTAAAAAAAAAAAAAATCAGTTTGTTATGAGTTAAATTTCAATTTTAATTTTAACCATTCAAATTTTATTTATTAAAACAAAAATTTACAGTTTCAATTTGTTCACATATAATTTTTATTTTTTAATTTAATGTAAAAACCTACCAAAATAGTGTTAAAACAAAATTTAAATTTTTTTAAGTTTAACTAAGTAGGATTATTTTATAAGTTAAGTTGCTACTCCTAGGAAACGTTATTGCACTTAAAGTGAATTATGATGAACGTCAATGAGATGCCTTGAAGTGGCCTGTCGTTTAACTAATGTATGGCACTTTTCATACTTCGTGGGTGCAATGTCGACAAATTCACTCACGATCAAGTTATGACTTAAGATATATGACCCTACGAGTTTTTTAAATTTAGGTCGATTAAGAATAAGTCTATGATTGACTGAGATATTACATACCCATTTGATATCATATTTATAATTATGAACCATATCAATAAAAATATAAGTATGGTATATAAGAATGACGTTTATATGTTATTTATTTTAGGGTTGTTATGAATATACCTTATCAATAAAATAAAAGTAATTTATAATGATATTTATCTTTTGTTTGATATCATGATTATTTGCATGTTAATTTATTATTAAGTCTATTGCTAATATATTATATCAATAAAAATAAAAATAAAAAAGTGTATCAAAAGAGAATGAGAAAAAAAAATTAAAGAAAAATAATGATCAACATACAGCTAACTAGTTTCCATCCTGTATTAATTATAAAAAATTTAAAAATTTAAAAATACTTTTTAAAAGGTTAATGAATATTAACGTTGTTTAAATCTATTATTATCTTTATTATTATTATTATTATTATTTATTTATATTAATATTAAAATATTTTTGAATTTTTTAAGAGTTATAATAAAATAATGGCTAAAAAGCCAGTTATTTCAACCATAAAAAATTTATAAATATTTTTAAAAGGTTAAAAATATTTTTGAATATAAAATTATTGAATTTTTTAAAAGTTAGAATAAAATAATGGTAAAAAGCTAGCTAACTAGTTTCCATATATGTATTAATTATAAAAAATTTATAAATATTTTTTAAAGATTAATGAATATCAACTTTTGAAAGTTTATAGGTCTATTATCTTTTTTTTATCTATAATTAATATTAAAAATATTTTTGAATTAGTTAGAATAAAATAATGGCTAAAAAACTAGCTAACTAATTGTAAAAAAAAAAAATTATAAAATATATAAATATGTTTTGAAAGATTAATGAATATGAAAGTTTTGGAAATTTATATGTATGTTATTATCTTTTTTTTTTTCATCTATATATTAATATTAAAAATATTTTCGAATATGAAATTATTGAATTTTTTAAAGGTTAGAATACAAAAATGGTAAAAAAGTCCTAGTTTCATATATGTATTAATTATAAAAAATTTATAAATATTTTTTAAAGATTAATGAATATCAATATTTTGAAAGTTTATAGGTCTATTATCTTTTTTTTTATCTATATATTAATATTAAAAATATTTTCGAATTTAAAATTATTGAATTTTTTAAAAGTTAGAATAAAATAATGGCTAAAAATTACTAGTTTCTATTATGTTTAATTGTAAAAAAAAAAAAATAATAAATATGTTTTAAAAGATTAATGAATATGAAAGTTTTAAAAATTTATACGTCGGTTATTATCTTTTTCATCTATATATTAATATTAAAATTATTTTTGAATTTGAAATTATTGAATTTTTTAAAAGTTAGAATAAAATAATGCTAAAAAAACTTGCTAGTTTTCATTCCTATATTAATTATAAAAAATTTAAAATTTTTATAAATATGTTTTAAAAGATTAACGATTTAAAAGTTTATAGTTGTTATTATTCTCTTATATCCAAATATTAATATTAAAAATATTTTTAAATTTAAAATTATTAAAATTTTTAAAAGTCAGAATAAAATAATGGCTTATAAAAACTAGCGGACTAGTTTATTAATTATAAAAAATTTATAAATATTGATTAATGAATATTTCAAAAAGTTTATATAACTCCAAATCTGTTATTATCTTTTCTATACATATATTAATATCAAAAATATTTTTAAATTTGAAATTATTGATTTTTTAAAAATAGAATAAATTAATGCTAATTTTTTATAAATATTTTCGAAGTGTATATCTCTAAAATTTGTTATTATCTATCTCGGGTAAATATTTTTGAATTTGAAATTATTAAATATTTTAAAAGTTAGAATAAAATAATGGCTATTATTATTATTTTGGGCTTCTAAAATTATAGAATTAGGCTTGAGATTGATTTAAAAATAGTAAAATAAATTCGTGTCATTTTCAAAATAATTCTAAAATGTGTAAATAATACATGTCACGAAAAGCGAGTGGCTCTCGGCGCGAGTTCTACGGAGAGCAGTGCAGGAGGCTTCGTCAATGAGATATTTCTTGTCGTTTATCAGATGTCCAGCCTGGTTCGGGTCCTCAGCGCCGTTGGCCCTTCGTGTCGCTGATATTAAAAATCAGAAACTTCTGGACAATCACATAAAACCCACTCATCTATCCCTTCCCCATCTCTTAATTTTGGATTTTTCTCTTAGTTTTGAGTGAGACTTGATGGATCCCTGTTGTAAGATTCAGCGGATGGGTGAGTCTATGGTGGTTTGACAATCGCTCAAATCGGAGAGAGATTTGGTTTTCGGGAATTGTTTTCTGAACTCGGTTTCTCTCGGATATGTCGGAGCTTTGTCTTATGGCTTCCCATGGATACCCTTCGGCTCTTGTTTTACACCACCAGCATAACACCTCCAGGGAAATCAAGGTACCGTACAACAAACTGTTGATTTGCGAAATTTCTATAACTTTTGTGCTATTTTTTTGGTTTTAATCCGACTTTCAAGCCAACCATGGATTGGTTGTTTATAATTATTCCCATTCTTGGTTTGTTTCTATATTGATTACGCAAGACATTGTACTTCTGTTCTGATCATTATTGGCTTGGAGTTTCTTGTATGCGTTGCCGCTCCCTTACATTGGCTAGCCCTGTCACACCATTAAATCATGTTCTTAAGGCATAAGAATCTCTACGAATCTTTGTGAATGATCCTTGACTCGTTGAGTCATTTGTTTAAACTGTTGTAAGTTGTAATGAAGATGTATCGTCGATAACTCTTGTTTAGTTTATAACCCTTGATAGTTCATATGAACAAAAATGGTTATATTCTCATTTTGATAGTTCATGTATGAGCATTAACATTGCTATGCCTATATAAAGGCTTGTGTAGCATTATTTTGAGATGCAGAATCATTGCCATTTTGTATTTGTCTAGAAACAATTGGGAGAAACTTTGTGGGTGAGACTTTGTAGTGTGAGAGTGTGAGAGATACACTTGTAAACACTTTGGTTATAGTAATTGACTACCGTGGATGTAGGAGAATTTCTTCTCTCCAAACCATGTAAATCTTTGTGTCTCTTTGTTTAATATATATTTGTGGGTGTGTGAGTGCGAGTGATCTTGCTTCTGCTTAGGCTACAACTACTCAGAACATATTGGTTGTGGCATGTAAGGGTACAACATAAACTTTTTTTTTCTTTTGTGATTAACCAGGACTGTCAGTCTTTCTTGTCAATACGTGGAGCTAGGCCAGAAATTGTGATCGGGTCAGAATTGCAAAATATTCAGCCTCCACAGAGCCATGGACCATGGAAATCTATTATTGGGATGCCAGAACCCAATCAATTAGTTGAGTTTGACCCAAAAGTTAGAAGTCTGAACATGATTGATGCACAAGGTTAGTTGATTTGCAAGTTTCAACATAATTTTTAAGGACTCTTATTATCTTTCCTATCATCTATAACAGCCGGAAACAAATCATTGAACTTCATCACGACCATTTTACTTTTCACTTCTCTTGTGAAATGTGATTTTTTAAGGGAACACTAGTAGAGCAACGATGCTTCAAAAAGAATTGTTATAGTGATTATTAGTATAGTTGTATCGTTGTAAACATCTTAAACATGTTCTCCTTATTGTCTTTTTACTATCTTCTACTTAAATTACGCTTGTACACTTGTCTAAATATGAGATCCCACATCAGTTGGGGAGGTGAATGAAACATTCTTTATAAGGATGTAGAAACCTCTCCTTAGCAAACGCGTTTTAAAACCTTGAGGGGAAGCCCTTAAGTGAAAGCCCCGAAGGAAAAACCCAAAGATACAATATCTGTTAGCGGTGAACAAACTTTCTTGTCTTTGGTGCATCTTTTAAGATGTAATCGCAAAAGTAATTGTAGGCTAAGCTACCATAACCTAAGTTGTATTAGTATTATTGCGCAAAGTGGACTTTTATAATTTGAAGATTAAATTAGATAATAAGGTACATTTATGGGCATCCATACCCGAGTCTTAATTGTTCCCTCTTTGATTTGGTTTCAGATAATCAGGGTGGATCTTTGATATTCAGTTCTAGATTTGAGGAGGAATTCAAAAGGTGTGAGAAAGTCTTGGAGTCCCTTGTATCCTGTCCAAGTGAAGAGAAGAAATATGCATTAAATTTACCAGACTTAAGGGGGTTACAAGAATTAAAGACGCAGCATTGCCGAGGGCCCGTTGCTACTTCACTTATCTTTCCTAGCTGCGAGTTTGATGCACCAGAGCCAATCATGGACTTTGTTGGCGAATTGATTAGAAGCTCAAAGATCACAATTCATCCTGATGGACAGATTCTTTTAACTGAGACTGGGACAAAGATCAAGGATTTACTTTCAGTTGTTGCTGAGTTTTATTTGTCGAAGAACTCTTTAAGTTGGAGCAGGCAGTCAATTCTTGTCCCCAAATATGATAGGTACATATTTCTCTGCCTTTATTATCATCCACATAGTGGTTCAAAGTTTTCATTTTCCATTTGTCTTAAGAATTCAAGAACATTATTGCAAACCCACAG